CCTCCATGGCTGACACTGCATCTGTGGCTGCTGCCAGCCCTAGTCTTCGCTACCCAGGCTCAAAGAAAGGGCGCGAAAGGCGCGCTCCCCGCTCGGGCGCACGCACCGACCGCCGCCCTCGCCGCACACTGCAGCATTTCGCGCTCTCGCGCCGCGCCCCTCCCCGCCCGCCCTTATTTGCATATCCCACGGTTGCGGCCAATCAGTGCTCGACTTTCGCGAAGCGGATGGCTTTTGCTTGAGAGGAAAGGGAGTGGCTGGCGGCGCATGCGCCGCTGTGGCCGACTTGAACCGAGGCTTTTATTGCTGTAGTTTATTTCCACCCCCTTCCCTCCTGTTCTCTCCCTCTCTCTCTCTCTCTTTCTTTTTTTTTTCCGCCCTAGCTGGGGCTGTGTTGGAGGAGAGGAAGAAAGAGAGACAGAGGATTGCATTTATCCCTTCCGTTCCTGAAATTTGCTACCAGCAAGGCCAGCTAAGCGGTTGCATCTTTTTCAATCCTGCAAAAAACACCGAGTCCCCTTCCTGACAATTTTTGCTTTAAATCTGATCTCCTGAAATTAATTTTCTCCCGAGAGAGATGTCTTATCAGGGGAAGAAAAATATTCCACGCATCACGGTGAGTTTGGTACCTGGGAAATCTGCGGTCGGCCAGCAACCTTTTGTGGCACAGAACATCTAAGGAATTCTTAAAAAGGCGGGGGAGGGAGAGAGACCCAACTTTTTTTTTTTTCTGTTGATAATGAAGGCGATGATGGTGGTGGCTGTGGGAGACGCAATAATAAAAAATTACAAGCTACATGATTTGCAAGGCGTTAAAGCAGGAGCGTGCGTGCTTGAAGCGAGCCTTAGGTAGCGCGCCAGATCCGCTGTATCCTTTTATTGTCAGCGCGAGATGCTGCAGTGCCGGCCTGCGGGGTGTAAGCAAATGGATGGCAGATTGAATATGCATGGTTGAAGCTCGGATATTGTTCTCCGGGCTGCGTGCTGCGAGGCTGGACTGCTCCGGCCGCAGCGAGGAGATGGGGGAAATGGATCCTCCCGGAATCTTCCGCCCCCACCTTTAAGGGCTTTCTGGAGCCTTCGTCTGGCTCCTTGGAAAAAGAAGCGGGTTTCAGCCCGGAGGCGTAATGACAGCAGAGGGATGCTGAAAAGGGCAGGCTGTACCGGAATGATGTGGAAACGGGAAGAGAGCTGGGACGCGGGGATGAGCAGAGGAAGTGGTCTGGGGGGGGGCCAGGCTGGGGATTTTTGTTGATCGGGAACCGCTTTTTGGTGACCGCCTCGTTTTCCTCGCCCTTTGATTCCGGGCTGGGGCCGTAGAAGGACTCCGGGCTCCCTTTCTCGTCTCTTTTCTGTCCCTTCTCCCGCTAGGGAGGCGTCGGTGTTGGCGCATACAAAGCAGGCTGGGAGGGTGGGCGCTGAGGACAGCGCCGAGCCGGGCTCGGGAGGTAATGGCGCTGCGCGACGCGCGGAGCAGATGGCTCGGCCTGGCCGGGGCCAGACAATGATTCTGGCCGCCCGAGGTATCGGCGCAGTTCTAGGGGCTGAGATTGTTAGTTTGTGAATCACTGGGAAAACAAATATGCTATGCAATTGACAGTGCTTCAGGGAAGAGCACCGATTCTTGCTCCCACCCACTCCCCATCTTTTCCTGGAGAAATCTCGCCAGTTCTATTCACTGCATTTGCGAATGAAATCTCAGGGAAGGAGGAAGGCCAGGGAAATTCATTGTTACATAATGATGTGCAGTTGGAACAGGCCGGTGTGAGAACCCAGGGCTCAGGCAGAGAGCGAAAGAATCTCGCCAACAGGCATGAGGTGCTTTTAAGGCTGGCTTTGAAGGCGCGCTTTCGTTCTGGTTTCCTCTTTAGCCATGGGCACCCCGGCTTTCTCTGCACGCACAAGGGCACACCCATCCGCAGGAGGGAGATGTGGGAACAAATGCACAGGGGAGGGGGCGTGGGCTCAGCAGGTTTGCTAGGATGAGCCCAGCCGTTCTGCAGCGAGGGTGGGTACTCGAACAGCTTTCTTTTTCTTAGAGGCAAAAGACCCAAGATCTCAAAGAGTCGCGGTTTGAAGGACCCAACGTGATGCGTTTCCTGTGCTGGAGGAAGGAGTCTGAGGAGTGGATTTGCTGCAAGCCTCAAATAATTTGCTGTTTAGTGAATAAACGAGGCACTTTCATTTTGATTCTGTGGGGAGAAAAAACATTTAAAAAGCAAACAATCAACAAGACCGGTTTTTAAAAGAGCGCCCCCGCCCCCTCCACCCTTTGAAGAAAAATCTGGTTCCATTATGATAGGACCTATATGGTTTCCCTCCTCCATCACCAGGACCAGCCTCTTATGTAAGAAGCCTTCTAGAAGGCACCGGAGTGAAGGAGGCTGGACCGGTTTTTAAAAGAGCGCCCCCGCCCCCCTTTGAAGAAAAATCTGACTCCATTATGATAGGACCTATATGGTTTCCCTCCTCCATCACCAGGACCAGCCTCTTATGTAAGAAGCCTTCTAGAAGGCACCGGAATGAAGGAGGCTGTAATATGTCGTTTTCTCCTTGGCGCGTGTTGCCTGGAGGATTTGGGGTGACTGGCTGGGACAGGGACTGCATTTGACTAAGGGGGCAGGTGTTGAAGGGCAGGGCTTCTTGCTTGGCAGGTGATATTTAATTCTGTCGCTGAGCAGAAGCCCATGATCTGAGAGAGAAGGGGGGGGTGGTCATTGCAGACCGAGGAAGAACACAGGGCCAGGTGTCCTGGGGGCAAGTACGGTGACTTGCTGTCCTGGAATCTGTTTCCTTACATGTCAAGGGACTAGAATTTGCCTCCATCCATCTCGCATCTCACATGAGGGTCCCATGGCATGATGTGCATGACAGGATTCTAGAAAGTTCTTTGCATGTACCTTCTCCAGGTTCAGAAATTGCTGACCATCCCCATTTGACTTTGCAAAGTCTACCTCCGGATGGAGTGCCCTACAGCGTACGAAATTAAACCGATCTTACTGATTTTCAACACGTTAGCGAAACAATACGTCTTTTCTTTACCCTTTCAATATTTTCTGTATGTGCACGTGTGTGTAAAAGTTATCTTTTTTTCCTGCTGCTTTCTAGTAGCTTATTTATTTTTAAGAGATTTTCTATAATGTCCTTTCCTGGGTAGCTGCTCAGTGTAAGTCGTACTTGCTGAGAGCATGGTTTTGCAACGGAATGTGGAGTGAACTGCTGTCACAGCGAACTGCGGTCCTATGAAATGTGTTGCCTTCTCAAGGGGCAGTCCATGCTTCGACCTGTGAGGTTTCAACCCAGTCTAGACTAACACAGGTGCTTAGTCACTGAATACACGACTTAACATTCCATTCCAGCCAGTGGTGAGTCATAAGGTAGCATTTCTGTTACGGACTTGGCTCTCATGTGCCGCCTGTCTTTCTATTGATTTATTTAGCACAAGCATCAGCAAGTGAAATACAAGTATGTCGGCCATCTCCAGTGGTGTTAGATGTTAGAATTTGCCATCCCCATACTTGGTTGTAAACCCTTACCTTTTTTTTTGAGAGGTTTTTCGCTATAGAGCGCGTGCGCTTGCCAGACAGACAGAGACATAGAGACAGAAAGCGAGAAATCACCCCCCAGGGGGGATGGCCATGCCGCAATCCCTTCTCCTCCATTCTCCTCTCGGGATCTTGGGCACGCACGCGCACGCGCCCGGCGCGAGTTTGAAGCCACCGGGTCCGGGACGCGAACCGCGGTTGACTACGTGGGAGTCCAGTGACATAGCCATTACTCTAACTGCTGGTTCCCAAACCTTACCTTTTTTTGAACAGCTTAAAATGGGATATGTTTTGTAGTCCCCTTCCTGCTTGGCTATACTTGCTATGGTTGAACCAAATGTTTTTGTGTAGTTATGGTGTATCCCATGACAACAGACTTTTGGTCAGTTTCTTTCCTCAATGCAAACTTTGCCAAGATGTTACTTTCCTACATGTGCTTGTGGGTGTGTGGGTGTGTGTTTTTTATTTTTCGGTTTTAAATGAGGTTTTGCCCAACACCATTTAAGAAGTATTGTCATCTTTTTTTTTTTTTTTTTTGAGGGTTTTTTTTTTTTTTTTTTTGTTATGGGTGTGTGGGCCGCTATAGGGTGTGTGTGCTCTCCAGAGAGACAGAGATAGACAGAGAATAGAAAGTGAGAAATCACCCTCCGGGGGGATGGCCACGCCGTAATCCCTTCTCCTCCATTCTCCTCTCAGGATCTTGGGCACACACGCATACGCACCCGGTGTGAGTTTAAGCCACCGGGTCCAGGACTTGAACCATGTGGTTGACTACATGGGAGTCCAGCGACATAGCCATTATGCTAACTGCTGGTCTCAAGAAGTATTGTCTTCTTTACCTGAAATGTTTCACTTCTTTTCACTGGAAGCCTTTTTATTTATTTATTTTTGCTCTTTCCAGGTCTAAGATCTAATTGAAAGAGATGCGTCATTTATTGAGTATAAGCTTTGTCAGTGTGTTCTGACTCATCAGGTGATGAATAGGGTGGCATAGACAGCTTCCCTTGTTACTCAACTTTCCCCAAACTGGCTCATTTTAAACACTCAAAATGGGACCTTAGCTCATTTATCTAAGTACCTGTGTCCTCCTAGGTCAGATATGCGTTGTGACCTTCCTACCTCTTTGTTTCAGAGTGATCGTCTTCTGATCAAAGGAGGTAAAATTGTTAATGATGACCAGTCGTTCTATGCGGACATATACATGGAAGATGGGCTGATCAAGTAAGTATAACTCATTATGTAGAGAAGTATTTGCAGACCTTTCAGTGCTCCCAGGTTCTCGCTATCATTCATACACATTGTATTAAGCTTTGGAGACTTCAAATAATGGCCATCATAGTTTTTTTTTTTTTTTTTTTTGAGAGTTTTTTTGCTATAGGGCACATGCGCTCGCCAAAAAGAGAGACAGAGAGACAGAAAATGAGAAATCATCCCCCAGGGAGAAAGGTCACGCACACTCCCTTCTCCTTCATTCTCTTCTCGGGATCTTGGGCACACACGCACACATGCTGGGTGTGAGTTTAAACCACTGGATCCGGGACCTGAACCACAGTCGACTACATGGGAGTCCAGCGATATAGCCATTACGCCAACTGTTGGTCCCCATAAAATCTGTTTTAAACCCATTTTGATTGGTGGTCATCAGTGAATTGGGAAACTCAAGATTTAGGAAATTCCAGCCCCCAATTAAGTGCACACTGGTTTCATTGTGCTTTATGTAATTGGCTATTTTTAACTGAGGTGACATGATGTTTTCTTGTTGCCAGCTCAGATACTTGGTTTATGATCTGCTGACTGTGTTAAAGATTTTCCTAGAACGTAGTCTGGGGATGGGCTGCCCAATGACAGGACACAGACGTGGAATACAGCCTCTTCTATCAAGATAGTACATCTGTTTTCTTAATGAAGAGTTCAAGTTGGAGGGGCCAGAGAGGAACACCAAGTTAATTACCAAGAAACACAGACAAATTACTGCCTAATCCCGAGGGAATGTTGGGTTTGGTTCTATAAGTGGCAACTAGCACAAATAAGACTGCTCTTGTGTTTATTGTGTAGTAAGTTACAAAGGAGAAACAACAGAACAGTTACTGAGCTCGGGTATTCTTGGACGCTAGAGATTTAAGTGAGCTGAGCACATACCAGCACCCTTGTACCCTTCCTCCTGGGACAGCTCCCAGGGCTCTGGAGAAATAGCACATCTGTTTAAAGACAAACACTGCAGCAATGACATCTTTTAAATAAGCAGCATTCATCGAGTGCTAGCAGCAAATGAGCCCGGAGGAGTGGAAAACTGGAGTGGATATGACTGTTGCCTGGAAGCTCACACCCTGATTTACGAACCTAAAATAGGTTTCAACGTTTCCACATTTAATGTTTTCTCCGTGTGTGCGCGCGTGCTTGTGACAGTCTCAGCGCCAGGCTTTTAAATGCTGTGACTTTCATGGTCCGTTTTTCTCCCAGTTATCAGGCAGAATGGTTCCGTCTAGCAATAAGACACTGGCCTAGAAATGAGCAGGCCTGTACGCTACGTTTAGTTGTCATTAATTTGTTTTAGAACTTGGTCATCTCCTCCTTGATTTATTTCCTTTGCTTCAAAAATTGGTAGAAAGAGGTAGTAAAAATACTTCATAAAAACTGGAAAGGAATCGTGTTTCCCAACATAATACATATTCCCTTTGTTCCTGAATTGATAAGCACATACTTCCACACTTCAATAATTTCCATTGTAGTGTTCACTTGTTTTTCCCCCGTTTCGTTCTACCTCCATCCTTCCATCCTTACTTTCTCTCGATTGAAAAAGATGTGGTGAAAAGAAATATTTGGACATTACAACCAGCTCTGGAGAAAATTGCTGTAGGGTAATGAGCTCAATTATGAATTGGGTCGCTCAATTATGTATTGGGTCGTTGGGAAAGTCATGACGTATTTTCCTGTTTGTCTTTGCAAAAATGTGTCATACTTTCCTGATTATAAAGAAAGGTTAGTGATGTTTTAAATAAATGCCTTAGGACCTTGTTCTCGTTTGATCTTAGGGTCTCTTGGTAACTGAATCTCTTTGGATGGGGTGTCTGATACCTTACTTAAATTTTATTTGTGTTCTCTCTGAGTTGGGAGTAGAGAGTGGAGAGTACTTTTATGACGAATCACCACAATAACCCAAATAGTCCCCAACCGAGGATCATTTATCGCTTATGCAAGAAGTCAGCAGATCTCATTTGATTGCACATTTCACTTGCGATGCTTATTGGCAATCCTGTTGATTTAGGCAAATAGGAGAAAACCTGATTGTGCCAGGAGGGGTGAAAACCATCGAAGCCCATTCCAGAATGGTGATCCCTGGAGGAATCGATGTGCACACCCGTTTCCAGATGCCTGACCAGGGGATGACATCCGCTGATGACTTCTTCCAAGGAACCAAGGCAGCCCTGGCTGGGGGAACCACCATGATCAGTAAGAAGCTTAAAAAATCATCATTGTAGCTTTCGGAAACTATGCCCGTTTGAAAACAAGTCTATGTTGTTTGATCATTTCCTTTTAAAAGCTTCCAGATCAGGTGGCAAGGGGCGGGGGGCTAGCCATTTGTCTTATTTGTGTATCCTGATTTTTCTGTCCAACTTCGAGTTCTCCAGGGGAACTCGAGCATCCAGCCCTAGGAAATCTGGTAGGATGAGAAAATGGCTTCCTGCTTTCTGTGCTTAAGGGCTTTTGTCTTCCTGGACCCCCAGAATGTGATTTCGTTTTGAAAACACGTCATCGTCAAGGCCGTCAATTGTGAATCTTTGTTTTTCAGTGTTTGATTCTGATGAAAACAATTTTTAGAGGTGCTTCTTAGGTTGAAGATGGGGCACTGCAAATGAAATGGTGAATCTGGGATCTCTGTCCCACTGACAGGAAAATGCAATGGGGGAATATTTAATTGTCCTGTTAGAGATGAAAATTGCTGGCACCCACAGCCCTCCAACGGCTTTGTGTTTTTTGGTTTGGCCAAATCTAACGTGGACTCACTGGACCCAGCGCGTGTGTGTGTAGTTCGCTTGTAAACTGTTACATCCCAACATGCCTAGTGACTGTCCTTTTGTCACATGTCATTTTGTTTTCGAGGAGGTGGGCAAGCTGTGCCATGGTCCATCAGATACATATTTTTTTTTTTCTTTTTTTGGAGAGTTTTTTCTTTTCTTTTCTTTTTTTTTTTTTTTTTGCTATAGGGCGCGTGCACTTGCCAGAAAGACAGAGAGAGACAGAAAGATAGAAAGCGAGAAATCACCCCCCAGGGGGGATGGCCATGCCGCAATCCCTTCTCCTCCATTCTCCTCTAGGGATCTTGGGCACGCACGCACATGCACTTTGCGTGAGTTTTAGGCCACGTCCTGGGTCCAGGACGTGAACTGGGGTCGACTACATGGGAGTCCAGCGACATAGTCATTACGCTAACTGCTGGTCCCCATATTTTAAAAAACAGAGTTTATCCAAGATTGAAAGTCAACATATAATCTCTTAAATGAAAAGCTAACTGGGAACCAGCAGTTAGCATAATGGCTATGTCGCTGGACTCCCACGTAGTTGACCGCAGTTCGCGTCCCGGACCCGGTGGCTTAAAACTCACGCCGGGCGCATGTGCGTGCGTGCCCAAGATCCCGAGAGGAGAATGGAGGAGAAGGGATTGCGGTGTGACCATCCCCTCTAGGGGGTGATTTCTCGCTTTCTGTCTCTGTGTCTCTCTCTATATGGCTAGTGGACGCACCCTATAGCGAAAAATATCTCTCCAAAAAAAAAAGCTAACCGTCCAATTCAGAAGAGGGTCGACATTGAAAGGATTTAGCTATTATTGCTTCTTAAAAAAAATAACAAACTATCGTGGGCCAGCAGATGGTGTAGCAGTTAGCAGACTCCCACATGACTGACCACAGTCAGACCCAGTGGCTTGAAAATCATGCTGGGCTCATGTGTGTGCATCCCCAAGATCCCAGGAGAATGGAGGAGAAGGGATTACAGAGTGGCAATCCCCCTTGGGAGATGATTTCTCACCTTCTCTCTCACTATCTTTGTCTCTCCCTATGGCGAGTGAATGTACCCTAAGGTAAAAACGTCTTAAAAAAACCCAAAACTATCTTAACATTTATTTTTCAGTGTGATGGTCTTTTTTACCTGTGGCTATAGGGTCTATCTGGAAGCATCTTTTCTGTCTGATCTGACCTAGAGGAACATCACCCTGCCATCCCCTCCTAACCCAAGTTCCCCGTATTTTCATTTGCATACTCGCCCTCTGGCATCTTCATCCTGGGCTTCAGTGTCTGAAGCCTCGACTTCAGCTCTCCTGTTTCAGCTTTCTCCACACTGTGGAGAGCGAGCCTGCAGGTGTAAGCCTGGCTGCTTCCACCTTGCTGCTCACGTGTCCTGTAGCCTAGTGCATGCCTTTTTCAAGGGGGCCCTTCACGCACACCTTGGGACTTGGGCTGCTGTAGAAGCCTGCCACGAATTGGACTCGTGGCTCCTGTATGCATTGCCGCCCCTCCTCCAGGGCAGGCTATGGAGTAACACTTGAGCCTGGAGAAGCACAGACTCCTTGGGTGTTGGTAGGAAGGCCAAGTGGACGTGATGATCTGTCTCAGGTTTATAAACAGGCCCCTGCCTTGTCACATAGGGTCAGTAAGCCGTAAATACTATTTTCCAAGTGAGTGGTGAATGATGCCTCCTACCGGACGACTCCTGAGCAGGAAATGCCTCCACTGAATGAGGCGTTCTGGTCCCCTTCTGATACTAACTTGCTGTATGACCTTGGGCAAGTCTCTTCACGTCTCTGTATTTTCGCTGCTTTTCTACACAGTGAAGGATTTGCTCTAGATGACCCTGGAAGGCCTTTTTAGCGCTCACATCTGGGGATTCACTGAGCCCAGAGAGTCATTTTGCCTCTAATCAAAAGCACTTTGCTCAGCAGATACAGAGAGCCTCTGTTTTCTCTCAGATTTACTTGGGGTCTTTCTCTCCTCTCCTGTGTTCTTGAAGGCCCCACACTTTGGTCCCCACTCTACTTCTTGTCTTAACCACTGTCTCTCTCCTGGCATGGAGGCATATCCTTGCTACTGCCCAGACTTTCCCCCTTGGTGACTCTGGCCTTCTTTCCATTCATCCAGGTGGGTCCCATCTGTGCAGGACTGAAGGACATCTCCTTGGGTCCCCCCCACCCTGCAGCTCAGAGAGCCAGCATAATCAACAGATGGCCTTCAGGGCAGATGCTTGGGAGAGAGGCGAAAAGCCTGTTTGCCTGCTGCTTGCTCGGGCAGAATGTGGTGGCAGTTTAATGTGGGCTCAGGTGTAGGTGGGTTTCATGAACAAACCTCAGAGCTTTGAAGTTATCAGAGATGGCAATGTGTGGTCTGAGTTGCACCCCAAGTGCCATCACCGTTTCTCTTTTAAAATTTTTTTTGCCATAGGATACGTGTACTCTCCAGAGAGAGAGTGAGAAGAAAGCATGAGAACTCACCCCACATCTTGGGGCATGGCCGTGCTGCAATCCCTTTTCCATTCTTCTCTGAGAACATTGGGCATGCATGCACATGTGCCCGGTGTGTTTTCAGGGCATTCCGTTCAGCACTCAGACCTGCAGAATTGGCCATGTGGGATCCAGTGCCTTAAACCACCACGCCCCCTGCTGGCTCAGTACCATTGCTTTTGTAGCCTGTGAAAAAATCTCTTGAAAATAACCACACATGGTTACAACTTCCAAAGGATAGGATTTCTTTCTTGCTTGCTGGTCATACATTCTGTGTTGCTTTGAGGGAGTGAGTGGCTGGGGCTCGCTTTGCAAAGAGGCCTTGCAGGGAAGAATCACTTAGAGCACCTTCATTGATATCTGCGGCTGGCTCCATCAATGAGGCTGGAGCTTCTTTAACGTATTGAGGTCAGAAAACAATGCTTAACTTAGATGCCTCTGAGCAGGTTCTATTGAATACTTGGTATGCCCACGGCTGCTTGCTGGAGACAGCACTTGAAGTAAACTGGCACAAAGGGGCTGTCTGCACGCTCCTGCTGCCGTCTTCCTGACTTTGTCCAAGCCATGTTACCTGTGCTCATAGGTGTCTCACCTGCGGCCTCATTGGGTGTGTTCCCCAGGTCACAAGCCCTGGAGGCTCCACTCTGTCTGAAGTGGCACTGCTTGCAGGGAAAACGCAGCCGAATGTTCGCAGTTTAAAAAGGACACTGGTTCGTCAGCATCAGAAAATAATATTATTGCCGTCAAACAGAGCTGGCTATTGAGCACTGCACAATGAGGTCTTTGTGAGGGGGACCCAGCACAGGGTAGGAGGGTGCCCTTTGACCTTTCCATCCAGTGATGGGTGGGCAGAGACTCTAGACGTGCCCTGCAGGCAGCAACAGACAGGCTGAGGCTCATGAGTTGCTGCCTGGAGAAAACACTATGACCTTCGCAGGGGCTTTCTGATCATTGGAGTTTTGAGGACTGCAGAGTCTCCAGGAAACCGGTGGGAATGGTCAACTCCATTTTATAGAAGGGAGGGCTGAGGCCTGAGTAAGAGCACTGCACGCTTGTCCTGTATGTTGGGACAGGTGGCAGGAATGGAACACACACCAGCTACCAGCTGTACCACTTTTGCTTTCAGCCTCAGCATCCCAGTCAGCAAAAGGGGTGAGGCTGTTCGAAAGACAGGCTGTGGTGGCATCAGAACAGTACCTGGCCTGTAGTAAGCTCTCAGGTGTGGCAGTGCTTGTCACTCCGTCTGGCGCTGGGGACCAGTAACCTCCCGCCTCTGCTACATTCTCCGAGCAGAGCCGGAGAGAAAAGGCTCCAGATGACTTGCACATTCACTCAGAGTTGGGATTCTCCAAGAGTGGTCAGTGGACTATGTGCCTCTGTATCACCTTTTTCTGGTGTGCATCTTTTTCTTTTTTAACTTTTCTTTATAATAGAGCATGTGCACAAACAGGAGAGAGAGAGGGAGAGGAAGCACGTTCCCGTGGATCTTGGTCATATCGCAGTCTTTTTTCTTCCAATGCTCCCTTCCATCAGGATCTTGTCCTGTTCATACCTATGCCTAGCGCACTGCTACTGGGGCTGGGATTTGAACCCAGGTCACCTTGTGGGATCTGGCTTCCTCTGCAAAACATCAAGCTTTACATCTTTTTTTTAAAAAAGAATGATTTATTTTATTTTATTTACTCATTCAATCATTTTCATTTGACCATAGAAAGACAGACACACAGAGAGAAGGAAAATGAGAAAGCAAGCCACCAGGTCATGGTCAGCCATGTGGGAGTGTCCAGTGTCCAGTAACCCAGGTCACCTTGTGGGATCTGGCTTCCTCTGCAAAACATCAAGCTTTACATCTTTTTTTTAAAAAAGAATGATTTATTTTATTTTATTTACTCATTCAATCATTTTCATTTGACCATAGAAAGACAGACACACAGAGAGAAGGAAAATGAGAAAGCAAGCC